CAAGGAGCTGCGCAATCAGGTGATTCTGCTCAAACAGGAAAACATGGAGCTGCGCCAGGGCAAACCAAGCTCCTCTGCAGCAGCTACCTCATCCTGCCCATCATCGCCAGCTCGCTGAAAAACCTGAAGAACGGCGTGGAGAGCAGGAGCTTTCCAGCGGGGCTGCTGCTGGACGGCGTCTGGACGATCAAGCACCACATTGTGGAGACCTTCGAGAAGATCGGCCACCGCCCCAATGACACCATCCTCCACTCGGTCTTCCCCGAGGCGGCGGAGCTGATCAGCCAGAAGGTGCTGAAGATGGAGCGGTGCTACCTGTCCAGCGTCAAGGGCGGCGTCAAGTTGGACATCTTCACGGAGCCGCTGGCTGTCATTGTGTACCGGTATTTGGTGAGCACTTCAGTTGATGATCATTTTGCTTCAAGATCTAAGATTGTTTTGGTTTTTAGAAAGCGTACTCCATGACCGAGAAAGGCTCTGGCACCGAGTGGCTCGCTCACCTGAAGCGGCGAGTGGTGAACCTGGTGGCCAACATCAAGGACGTGGCTCGCCATGTGATTGACTGCCTGCGGCACGTCGACCAGCCTGACTATGAGCCGACGAAGCTGGCGCTCAACCGTTTCTCCTCGCTGGTAAACAAAAATAGTGCTCCAGTTTCAATCGGTTTTATTTCCACTTTTTTTTATTTTGTTAGTCCCTCTCCGAGTTCTTCCACCTCCGTCACCCGAAGCCGCTTCCCGTCAGCTCGGCAGAAGAAGTTTTATGGAAAAACAGGCTGAACATTAGCATTGGTGGTGGTGACAGTGGAGAGCAGCCATCTTTTCCTGACGCCGCCGCTTCTTCTACAGCAGCTGCCCCACCTTCAACTCTTGGCGGTGATGAGGATCTTCTCACCAGCACCACCAGTGGACCAGCCTCAACTGACCACCCCGAACTAGTTCTTGGCTCCGAATCTGAAGAAGGCCCAAGAAAACAGTCATTGTCCTCCTTTTCCGGCGGCTATGGCGGTCCGCAGATCAGCATCATGTACGACAGCTTCGATGTGGACGACATTGCTGATAGTGTGCTGCCCAGCTCCTTCGATTACCGCGACCTGGATGTGGTGAGCGTGGTGAAGAACCAGGGCGGTGCTCAGGTAAAGTGTTTTGTTCTGTTTTATCAGCAAAAAGTTTCATCATCATCGATCACTTCCTAGACCTGCTACCTCTTCGCCGCCCTCAGCGCCGTCGAGTCGGCCTTCATGCTGAGCCACAGGGGCCGCCGCAACGTTTCCTTCAGCGAGAAGGACGCCTACAACTGCCTGGCGAAGCTGGGCTACAACGATGCCCCCCAGGTGGGCGGCCAGGTGGAGACCGTCTATCGGATGTTCATGGAGACGCATGGCATTGTCTACGAGAAGGACGCTGAGCAGTACGACTTTACGAGGAAGGACTACGAGACGCCGCCCAAGGTAAACACAAGCAGAGAAATAGAAATAGAAACTCGCCTTTTGTTGTTTACCTTTTTTGTTGTTTACCTACTGAATCGGTAGCTCCACAAGGAAAAATGCCTGCCCCTGACGCCCTCCCAGGAGGCGACCCGAATGCGCGGTTTTGCCAAGGAATACGGCCTGGAGGGCGAGGGCTCGCTGCAGCGGCTGAAGAAGATCGTCTACAAGTACGGCCCGGTGACCACCG